CACAAATTACCACAACACACCTAATATGAAATATATAATTTGAATAGCTCTGTTAACTATTCAAGAAATGAAATTCATAATTTTAAAACTCCACCCCCAAAAAGAAATCTCCCGGTCCAGATGGCTTCACTGAAGAATTCTGCTAATTGTTCAATGAATTAACACAGCAATATATATAACCTCTTCTAGAACATAGAAGAGGGGGAAACAAAGGATGGATGACAAACTTAAATGTAAAATTTTGAAAATTAGAAAAATATATAAGAGAAAATCTTCAGGATACAGAGCTAGAAAAAAAAAGCTTAGCCTTGACACCAAAAGCAAAATCAATTAAAGGAAAAATTCAGCAGAAGGAAAACCACATACAATTAGAAAACAAGCAAAAGACATGAGACATTCACTGAAGATTTATAGATGGTAAACAAGTACATGAAAAGATGTTTATCATCACTAGCTATTAAGAAAATGCAAACTAAAACCATATTGAGATGTCACAGACCAATCAGAATGGCTAAAATTAAATAATAACAAATACCAAATGCTGATAAGGACATGCTGAAACTGGATCACAAACATTGCTATGAGAATGTAAAATGGTAGGCAGTTTACAAAATGGAGAACAGTTTGGCAGTTTCTAGTAAAAATAAACACGAGACTACAATACAACCCAGCAATTGTAGTCCTAGGCATTCATTTCAGATAAATGAAGACTTACGTTCACACAAAAGCATTTATGTTTATAGCAACTCTATCTGTAACAACCAAAAACTGTAAATTATACAGATGTCCTTCAACAAGTGAATAGTTAAGCTAGGATACATCCATACCATGGAATATTATTCAACGAAAATGAAAAATTATGATTGATACATGCAATAACCTGGGAATTATGCCAAGTGAAAAAGCCAATTCCAAGGGTTATACACTCATAATTCCATTTACATGTGAAATTCTTGAAGTGACAAAATTATAGAAATGGTGAACATTTGGGAGCATTGGGAGGAAGTGGTTTTGGTTATACAAGGCAACATTAAGGGATTCTTGTGGAAATGGAAATGTTCTGTGTCTTGACTATCAACACTAATATCCTGGTTGTTACACTGTAGTATACTTCTGCCAGATGTTACCACCAGGGGAAACTGGAAAAAGGATACACTGGATCTCTCAGTAAATTGTAGGATTTTGTGTAACTATCTGGGTTTATAATGATCTCAAAATCAAAGTTTCATTTAAAATAAATTAATTAAAGATTAAAATGCAAAACAAAGAATACAGAAATAATATTTTCATGTTCTTGATGCAGGGAAATCTTTTACCACCGTGACTCCAGTGTTAGCAACTATAAAACGAAAAATTTTACATTTTTATACAGCAAAGGACATTAGCACCCACTGCTGCCATAACAAATTACCACAAACTCAGTGATTTAAAAACACAAATTTATTATATTACAGTTCTGGAGGTCAGAAGTGTGAAATGAGTCTTATAGACTAAAATCAAAGTGTCAGCAGAGTTGTGCTCATTCTGGAGACTGCAGAGGAAAATCCACTCCTCGCCAATTCCAGCTTCTAGAAGCTGCCTGCATTTCTTAGCTCATGACTGCATCACTCTGACCTTTACTTTGATTGCCACTGTCTGTTCTCACTTTAACTAACACTTCTGCCTCCTTCCCGTATGTACCCTTATAATCTACACTGGATTGCACATAAGACTAATTCAAAATAAAGTCTCTTTAACTATGTAAAATAACAGTTTCACAGGTTCTGGAAATTAGGACCTGTACACGTGTGGAAAGCCATTATTCTAACTATCACCAACATCAACAAAGTTAAGAGTCTAATAAGAAGGGAGGAAATACCTGTAATATACTCAAGTGTTAATGATGCTATACAATAAAAGCTCAAACGAAAGATGAAAAATAAGTTTTAAAACTGGCAAAGAACAATTATGGGAGAGAAAGTAAAAATGATCAAAAAGTTCTGTAAAAGACCCTGGATGTCCTTATCATTAAGGAAATGAAAACTAAAACCAAAGTACTATTCTTTACCTATTGCATGACAAAAAAAAAAAAAACAGCAATATTATCTAGTGCTCCCCAGAATGTACAAAATGAGCATTCTACTACATTACTGGCATAATTAAAAACAGATATAAAGCTTTACATTTTTTAATTATGGGAATTCTCAACACATATAAAGGTGAATAGCACAGTGAACCCCACATTTATTACCCAACCTTAATTATCAGTATTCTGCCTATGGTTCATCTACCCCCAATTTTTGGTGGTGAAGCTGAAAACCAAGGATTTCAGCTGTTAAGAGTATTAACATATAACCCACAGCCCACATAAATTAACAATGAAGCAAGGGCTCTTTATCTTCTTTTTGCTATGGGCACTTTCTTCCTTTTGGCAGCCTGGTAAAACCTATAACCCTTATTCAGAATTAAAATATCAAATGCATAAAAACATGTAAGACTGCATATAAAATCAGTATACAGAAATTCAGTTATCAAATATGAAAAAAAAAATTTGTGCTGTCAAAAACTTAAGGGCTTCCTATTAAAGTTAAGAGCATCTGCGACAATTCTTTCATTTTATCTAATACTAATGTTCAATTTTTGTGAGTGAATTAATTTTTTTAAGAGTCTTTTACAGTAGGTTTGTCTGAACCAGGATCCAAACTAAGTTTGTTCACTGCACTCTGGTTAGTTATGTTCTAAGTCTCCTTAATCTCTACAGTTCTCTTTTCCTACTATTTATGTGTCATTTATTGGTTGAAGAGCCTGGCTTCATTGGTCCTTCAGTAACTTCCCACACAGTGAATCAGACTCACGTGAGGGTGTTCCTTTACCTCCCCATCTCCTGTAAATTAACAATCCCATCTAGAGGCTTTACTTTTTCTTTTTCTCTCTCCCCCAACCAGATTCTTTTGTTGTTGTTCTTGCAAGAATATATCACAGGAATTCTTGTGTATTACTTATTGCCATGAAACAGGAGGCACACTATGTCTGGCTGCCCCATTTTCAGTGATACTAAGATTGAATGGTGGATTGAGTATCAAACTGATTCACCAATTATCAAGTTCCCCATCAAACCTTCACCTAATGGGTTTTTATCAGCCACTGATGATCACTGCCTTGATCTTTTACTTCTAAAATGGTGATCTGCTAGTTTTACCTACTTTTGGAAACTGTGACTGACTAGAAAGAAAAACATTGTCTCCTTAACTATCTGATTACTCTAACAGCAGATCCTACAAGACAGAACATATGCTTCCCTATAGTTAAGGACACAATTGGATGGATTATACAGCTAAATTCATTTGTTTCCATTTTCTGGACATCACATTTTCCTTTCTTGAATTTAACTTTATCTTGTAATTATATAAAATATTTACTATCAAAATTTAAACTATCAAACAAGGTACAGAGCAGTCTGTTTCCACACTCACCTCTCTTTTCTCTCTCTCCCCCCACAGAATAACCATTTTTTATTTGTTTTGGTTTATTCTTCTGTTTCTTTTTGAATATATAAGGAACATGTAAATTGGAAATAATAAATTTCATGTCCTCCCACAACAAAACATGTACACATACAGAGATGAGGCACACTATGTATACTGTCTGAACCTTGTTTTTATAGTTCAATAAATCCTGAAGATCATTCCAGAACAGTATATGAGAGTTCTTTCCTAATATTACTACTACTCTAACTACTGCACAGAACTTCATCATTATAGAAATATCACAGTTTCCTCAACTAAACCATAATGACAGATGAGTTTTTTCTATTCTTCTTGTATTAAATAGTGCTGTAATGAATAGTCTCATATATGTCATTTAGTTTTTGTCAGTGTATACTTTGGGTAAGAGTCACTGAAGAATGCTGAGTTGAAGATTTATATATTTTTGTGAAATATTACCAAATTTGCTATCCATAGCTCCATGAATTCTCAACAATAGATGAGTGACTATTTCTTCACAGCCTTGCCAACAAACTACAGATTTTAGCTAGTTGGATATATGGTATTTCAGAGCAGTTTTTACTATATTTTTTTATTATTGTGAGATTAATACCTTTTTCCAAATTTGAGGACATTTGCATTTGTTTTTCTGTGTGGAATACTCGTTCCTATCTTTTGCCCATTTTCCTAAGGTATGGCTTTTTTTTTTCAATGTTTAGCTCTTTATATAGTAGGAATATTTGCCCTTTGCCTTTAATTGCAAATTTTTTCAGTTTGCCATTTGTCTTCTTAACTTGGTTGTTGTATTTTTTGGTCAAAATATTAAACACACATTTCTTTGAATCAGTAATCTCTATACTACAGGAAAAAGTTATACCCAAAGTCATGTGTATAGTAAGAATGTGTGGTACAGCACTTCTAGTAATAGTGAAAAACTGGGAATGAAATATACACTGACAGTGTCTAAATTTTAAGTACTGATGCGGTAAATGTCCAAGAAATATTGGGTAAAAAAATGCAAATTCCAAAGCTATGTGCATATGATTTTATTTTGAAAAACATATCCTATGTTTGTCTCTGCATAAAAAAAGTTCTAGGATGACATACATCAAACTATAAACAGTGGGAGCTTCAGCGGTAAGATTGGTAAGACTTTCAGTCCCTACTCCACAGATATGTGTGCTTTGAATATTTTAAAAGATACACATAATTTTTTAAAAACACATATAAAGAGAAAACCAGCTAAAAGCTGGCTAAAAGGAACTGGCATCCAGAACACAAAGTAGGGGTGAGGAAACATGGGGTAGGTCTGAAGGGAAAAAGAAATGTGAGAGAAGCAGGTATAAAATTAAATCTGCTTTATAGTATAATCACAATTAGAAACAATTAGAAGGAAAAAAACACTTATAACCCAACTTTGTTTTGATATCCATTTTTTCAGTTAAGTACCAGATAAAAAAGCTAACTTGAATTTAGAGCCCAGATAGAAACAAGGTATCTTTAAACACAAGAAATAGAGTGAAATGACATACTTACTCTACAAGAGGGACAGCAATTGAGGACGACTGAGAAAATGTTTCCCATCTTATGCTTATTCTGGAAAGACAGGCAGAAACATCTTAACTATTTTGACAGCCTTCCTTTCTTGCTCTCTTTAGTCAAACTTAGTTCAAATTATATAAATATGAAATGAAGTGACTCCACTGTACTTTGACCCAGCCCAGAGGCCTGGCTGGTACAGGCTGTCATTTAATATTCTATGTTCCCCTACAAAAGCTTCAGTTCCATGTTTCCAACTACAGTCATATCTGCACTTGGATGTCCTGATGCCTGCTCTTGCTTTCAAGAACAAGATTCCTGTCCTTCTGTCTCTGTGTCCTTGTACCTGGCACCTGACCCCAGAAGCCTTACCAGCCAGTGTCCAATTCCTGCCTTGACATCAAGTGCTGGATTTCCTTTATAGAATCTGATCTGCCTATTTTGATCCCACTGACTTCCTGCCCTGCTCTGATTATATGAACTATCATGGACCTTGGACTTGACACTAATTCCAGTTTAAAGTACTCTCATCCTGCTTGTCTTTTCTTCCTGGGCTTATTTCCTGATCAGTTTGTTTTTCATATTCACCTCCAATCTCATTCCCAAACTGGACCTAGTACACACTTGATAATACTCCTAGACTTTCCTGATCTGATTAGGACCAAGAATAAAACAAGTTGGACTTAAAGAGCTCAGTCATTTCAATATGCCTCTAAGGACAATACAGACTTTACTGTTCTGGGGATCTTCATAAATGATACCACTTTGTATTGCAGGAAAGGGATCAGCATATTCAGTTGAAGAACACCTATTGGTTTAAGATCAGAGGTTTACACACCCTTACAAAGGCTAGGAGTTGTTAAAAATATTTAACTCTTTCCCAAGGAATGTTTAATGAGTGTTAATAATTCAAGTAGTACCCTAGCATTTTCCTCACAATAATCCTTTCAAGTATTACAGTCAATTTACAAAGTATTATACAGACACTAAGAATTTGAATGGCTTTTAAACCTTGGGAGGTAAGTGGTAGAAACAGTGAAATGGGAATCAAATGCATTATTTTCACTTCATTGGAGTTCATGTATTTTTGATACCATGCTTGGCTCTTAAAGAGCAGAAAAGGTGGTTGCATGTCATAAATGCAGAGAAACCAATTACCTACTAAACCAGCGAATCTCAAAACTCCTTTACACTCTTAAAGACCAAAGACCCAAAAATCTTTTGTTTGTATTGGTTAGGTCTATTAATTATTTACCATGTTGGGAATTAAAAATGAGGAAAATGTTAGGATTTTTAAAATTCAATGAAATGCAATCATATTTAATCCAATACGTTTTAACATAACACATTTTCACGAAAATTGTATTTTCCAGAACAAAAACATTCGTGGAAAGAGAGGCATTATTTTGCAGGTTTGCAAATCTTTTTAATATCTGACTTAAGAGTAGACAGGTGGATTCTCATATCTGTTTCTGCACTTAATGTACTGCAACATATTTTTTTGACTGAAAAGAAAACTTGGGACTCATACAGATATGTAGCTGGAAAAAGGAAGAGAACTTTAAGAGTCTTTTCAAGATAATTATGGATATTCTTTCTTGGTACTACACCTAAAGTTGACAAGCAGTAGAGTTCCTTAAAGACTAGTTTCTAATGTGGAATCTTAACCTTTATCAATGAACTTTCCCATACTGTTATATTAAAATTCATTGGCCTAAGTATTTTTAATTTCAAGGAAGATGGGTGTAAGCCCACTACAAACTCTCTCTCCAACTGATTACTACTAAAATCTCCAGAAAAAAATAAAAAGAATCAGCTACCTGAAGTCTCTGAAAAGTAAACATTATCAGGCAGATTGGGGAGGGCAATCAATCTGAAAGAAGACCAGTACAACAGATTTCCTTTTGGTTATTCCCGCATACTTTACTTTCAGGCTTTGACTCAAATGCAGGCAGAATAGAAAATTGTATAACAGGTTCAGTCAGGAAAACTCAAGATAAGCTCATCTGGCTGAAAGACAGGGGGAAAGGGCTCTTGAAAAAAGTGTGGGTTAAATCCCGGTCCCAAGACCAGCTATGCTGTGGACCTGCACTGCTGCCAGAATGGTGTAGACAGCCCATGCATTAAGACTCCCAGAGAAAATCTATTCCTCTGGATTGAAGGAAGCAGAAAAATGGATCAGGTGATACAAAGAATTTGGGGTAAACACGCATTTTCTCTCACCACTTCACACTGAAGGCAGGCAAACAACATCAAAGACTGAAACTCATAATAAGAGAACCCAATCCAGGAAGAAGGGTTACTGGGAGCTGGAGAATATTCCCATGAGAAAAGAGTTGGAAAAGGTAATCTATAACAAAGACTCTCTCCTTAACCAAACTCTAGTCAGGTTCCTCTGAGCCCTCTTCTTGACTGGGCCCCAATCTTGGCCTAAAAACCTCTCAGTATAAATGATTGTGTCCACCCTCTCACACTAACAGACTTGAAAAAACACTAACATGGTTTCAAATAGCTTAAGGCTGGCTGTATCCCCTAGGATGACAACTCCAGCACCACCACCCCCATAAGTTCCTGCTTGAGAAAGTTCAATGATACTATGAGAATTTACTATTTATTCCAGCCAAAACTTGCTGATAGGCAGATAGGCCCCTCACCCTCCACTCCTACCCTTAGAGCAGTTACTTAAGAGAGCATGAAATTATAAATACTGTCTCTGCCCTTTTGAGAAACTTCTACCACCTAGAACTGTCTTCTCAAGGACTTGAGAGCCACTTCTTTAAAATGTAAACACTCAAGGATATAACTCTCATTCTTACTCTCCAACTTTGGTGGGCATCTTGCTCTAATTTGTACTACTGTCTCTTGTCAAAAATGTAAGAGAAGTTTGTTTCTCCTCTGGATAAGTAACAATTTCAAACACAGATGGCCTAGCCACACAGTGCCTTTCCCTTAGCATACCCTAGCTTTTAAAAAGTTTGCTGCCTTTTATTTTGGTGAATGAATTCAGTTCAACACTGGACTCTTTTCTTTATTGTAGTATTTGTTAAATAAACTCTATCCACACCACTTTAACTAGTGTCTAGCTTTTAATCTTTCACATCTATAGTTAGAGTTATGAGCCAACAGCAATACTGGGCTCCCAAGTTGGGCATGCATGGAATATCCAAAGCAGTACTACAAAGGCACTGAGAACTGAAGTACAAAATAAACACCATCCAAGTCCTAATCCATCCCTGATTGGTACAGATGGAAGACAGACTCAAACCATATAAAAAAATGAAACTGATACCAGAACTACTGCCCATGATAAAACTTGGTGTGAACCTAGTAACATTGATGCTGCTAAAACAGGAAAATCAACATTCTCCAAAGGATTTTAGATTTTTAATAGGATCCAAAGTCTTACAACATAATATTCAAAATGTTCAACATACAATCCAAAATTATCTAACATACCAAGAAGTAGGAAAACCTGGCCAGCAAGAATTCGAAGAAAAAGACAACCAACAGATGCTAACCAAGAAATGATGCAGATGATGGAATTATCCAAAACCTTAATGCTTTAAGATTTTACCGATAATTCATGAGGTAAACCTGAAACAACTGTCCAGATAAACCTGATCTGAGATTTAAATAAGATCAAATGGAAATTTTAGAACTAAAACCCACAATATGCAACATAAAACTTAATTGGAGAGGCTGAATAGTAGAATCAGGATGATGGAATGTATTAATTTCCTATGACTGTGGCAACAAATTACCACAAACTAGGTGTTTTAAAATAACAGAAACTTATTCTGTTATATATCTGAAGGTTTCTATCAAGGACTCAATAAAGAAGTCTAAAGTCAACTGTTGACAAGGCTTTATTACATCTGAAGGCTCCAGAGAAGAATTTGCACTTTGTGTCTTTCAGCTTTTGGTGGCTGTCAGTCAGGAAGCCCTAAAACTCTTGCCTCTGTGGTTACATTGCCTCCTCTTTTTATATCAAATCTCCCTCTGCCTCACACTTGTAAGGACAGTTGTCACTGGATTTAGAGCTCGTCAGATAACCCAGGCTTAAACTCCACCTCTCACAATCCTTAATTAAATCACACCTTTTGCCACATAAGGTAATATTCACAAATTCCAAGAATGGACATAGCTTTTTGGAGGCTGCCACTCAACACATTATAATAGAGGAAAGGAAGACTGTGAACCTGAAGACAGATCAATAAAAATTACCGAATCTGAGAAACAGACAGGGGAGAATATAATCTGAAAAAGAGCAGGGCTTTAGGGACCAGTGAGACAGTGTCAAAACAGCTACTAAGCACATCTTTGGAGTCCCAAAAAAGATACTGCAGCAGAAAAAATACTTTAAGAAATAATGATTGAAATTTTCCAAAAATATATCTATGTTTAGAAAGATATAAATCTACACATTCAAGAAACTAAGCAAATCCCAGATAGGATAAATTCAGACCATATCTAGGCACATCATAATCTAAGTGCTAAAAAACAGATAAAAATCTTGAAGCCAGCAGAGAAAAACAAAATTATATTCAGGGGGCAGTGGTTCTCAATAGAAGATTATTTCACACCCAAAGGGATATTTGACAATGTCTGGAGTCATTTTTGATTATCACAGCTGGGAAGATGGGGCCAGGGAGGGTGCTACCAGGTAGAGGCCAAGGATACAGCTGAACATTTTACAATATACCAGACAGCCCACCACAATAAGGAATTATCCAGTCCAATGTGCTAAGGTTTGGAAACCATGATACAGGGGGCATTTTCAAATGACTAAGGATTTCTCATTCAGAAACCATGAACCACATCTTTAAAATGCTGAAAGAAAAAAATCAACAACCCAGAATTCTATTTTCAGTGAAAATATCCTTCAGGAATGAAATGAAATAAAAATATTCTCAGATGAAGAAAAACTAAGCCGTTTTATTGCCAGCAGACTGCCTCTAAAAGAAATGCAAAGGAAGTTCTTAAGGCTGAAAGAAAAATGGTATCAGAAGGACACAAGAAACTTCAGGAATGAAGGAAAAGTAATAAAAATGTTAGTA